GAACAGGATTCAGATCTACTTTTTCTGCTGGTGGATGAGAAGCAGGAGCAGTGCTTGGGCTGATCCCCGTAACCGTGTACCACAGACACTGAGCCCCTTCTCTACAGGGGGCACCTCAGGGCCCAGCAGCCCTCATCAGCAAAAGTTGTCCTCAGATTTGGGCCCTGAGGAGTGATGCTCTGGATGTGGCAGTAGGAGCCCATCAGCAGCAGGCTGACAACACCAGCTTTCCACAGCTCTATCCCACTGATCTAGACTCCAGCATTTTCATGCAGGGACCATCCCTTGCCATGTATGTGCTGATACAGCTCCCAATGCAAAACTCCCCACTCCTGGGGGCCTTGGTGCTCTCACAGCAGCGGTGCAGATGAGCTTGGGGTGGGGGGATTTCATGTTGCAGTAATGACAAGAGCCAGTGCCTCCCCAACAGCGCCTCTAAGCAATCCTGTGGGAAAGTGGGAATAAGGAGAGAGAAAGGGCATTTAAAAACACACCACTTACTGCTCATATTCTTCCATGACCTCTTCAGAGTCTGACATGCCTGGTTATCTAGCAGAATTCAAGGCAGATTGGAAAAAACAAGTGTTAGGAGCTGAGATAAGGGCAAGCACAGCCTGTTCTCCAGTGCTGGAGACACGGGCACGGAGACCCTGCGTCTCCCCAAAGCACTTAGAGCTGTGAGCTGTCCCCAGCCAGGCTGTGACAGTGTTATCTCAGCAGAGATAAGGCTCTCCCCTCCTGTCCCAGGATTACAGCTCACCCCAAATAGGAGGCAGGAGATTAGTGACAGCCTCATGCAACACTGATAACTGCTGTCAGGAGCCATGTCCAAGACACTCAGCTCCCCTTGCCGCAGCCATCTCAGCGTCCCGTGTTTGCTTAGGGCACAGGAAAATAACCCAATTAACATACAGCTGGTTGTGCTTCCTGGCTATTCTTAGCTCGGTTGGGATATAGAAACTTGCAGGGACATCCCATTATCTCAAATTTACAGCCCTGCACAAGCCACAACACAAGATTTCTGAGAGACCTCCAAGCCCTCCAAGTGCAGAATGTGCTCTGGAAAGGAGTGATCTCGGCTCAGCAGGACCATTTCTCTCCTGGTCCTGGCCCTGAGACTGAGGGCAGCTAAAAGGAATAATTAACAGCCTGGCTTTACAATGAGGCTAATAACTGTAGAAATGGCCATGCTCATCTTCCCAGCACACCCGTCTCCCTCCCAGCCGTGATCAGGACTGTACTCATGGTGCCTCCTCATCTAGCTTCCACCCAGCTCACTGCGACGAGGTCTGCACGGACCAGTCCATGATCAGCCCCAGCCCAGGGCATCCCGGAGCAGCCCTGAGCGTCAGCCCAAGCCCCTGCACACAACTCGCATTTTTGCCGGACCTCAGCAGAGCTGAGATGCCGCAGGACAATGCAAGGCATCTCTAGAAATAACTCCGTGTGCTAAACCACCTGTTCCCAGAGCAGCCCCGCTGTACTTCTCCTGATGGGCGTCTGGGAACAACTGGTCCTGGCTACATCTGTTGAGCATTTATTACCCGGGATGGGTAGGACAGGCTTCGGGATCGCCTATTCAAGATGCTGAATCCAGGACTGGAATCCACAAGCACGGGAAAGGCGCATTACAGGAGAGATGCCTGTGCATACCGGTGGCTCGCGGGGGGTTGTCAAATCTCACTTCTGAGCAATGACTCAGAAGGTGTTTTTTGGAGACAAATGAAGTCAGAAGTCAGCCCTGTCTGCCTTGGGTTCACCACCTGCTTCTGCCATCACTGTTCCTTTCCCTCTAATGGATGTGGGGCTTGGCCCTAAGCACCCCCTTCCGGCACCACGCCCTCGATCTCTGCTCCCCCTCAAACATCAGTTCCTGGCCCTACTTTTTCCACAGACTCGGCATGATCCTGCTATCCCCTCATGTTTAGCCAAATCATTTTTGTGGCCTCTGAGCACCCAGACTTCATGTGATCCTCCCACGACACAAGAGTGGAGACTCCCTCCTGGCCACGGCAGTGCAAACATGCATTTGCAAAGGCCTAGTTCTACATTTCCATTCACCCCCTCTCTCACATATCACTAGATCCCACAGAGCGTTTGCTGAGGAACAGCAACAAAACCAGGACTGTTGAGGGAGTACAAAAGAAAAAGGGGCTCTAGGAAATATTTTTACATCCTCTGCACAGAAACAGAGCTTTCCGTTTAAGATTTGAAATCTGTTTTGAAAGGTTTAGAACAACCCAGCAGACGTATTACAGAGTTAAAGAGGAAACATTGTGAATATTATTGACTGCAAAATATCTCCCATCATTTGCTGTATATTAAATAATCCAAATATTCCTCCCAGTCCTTAAAATCATTGACTTCATTAGCTCAGGTCCGGATGATCACACTTCTGGGGCTGAATTATTCCCCCCTGGTTCTCAGTCCCTGCTTTCCTCCAGGCTACCCAGTTCTCACTTCCCAGCATTTGCTCCAGCGTGTGTCCCGTCGCTTCTCCCTTCCTCCTTGAGAGGGTCTGACTGTGCACAGGAGCATCCCACCTCTAACCCACCCCATGGGCTGCCAGCGAGTCAGGGCCAGGCAGGCCCAACTCTCCCATGGGCGTTGCATCCTCTTGTATCCTCCAGAGACACGGGGTATTGGGATTTATGAGATTCCTCCAGAACCAGGGCAGCCAAAATCCCTCCCAGTCACCTTGGCCCACATTGGGCTGGTTCAAAAGTCATTGGGCGAGTTGCAAATACAACCCCCTGGAGAGACTCCCGATGTTTTATCCATGGGAATGCCTTCATGGCAAAAATACATCCCAGTGCAAACGGCTGGGGAGGACCATTAACCCTGAGCCAAATAACTTCTGGGTCTTTAACAACTGCCCTTCCACTAAGCATCCTACGCCAGGAGCGGGTATTAACCGAGCCTTACCTCTACTGTGGGGGCGAGGAGATCCCAGGGAGCCGAGGGGAAGCCAGCGGGTGTCTGGGAAAAGCTCTTTGGGGCAGGAGGCTTTAAGGGGGCTCCAGTGCCCACCCCGGGGCGGGCAGCGCCGGGAGGAATGTGCCCGGCGCCCAGTGAGGAATGCAACACTTGTGAGCTGCTATTTCAGCCCCTGCCCCCCTCTGCTGCACCCCCTTCCCCCTCAGGAGCCCATATAAGCCCAAGCTATTGTGTGGCCTCAGAGATTTGCTATTTTAAACCCTCTGGAGTAAGATACGTGAGTGCCCAAGGGGCTGACACAAGCCAGCCAGCTGTCATTTTCTAGGGCCAGGGACGCTGATAAGGCAGCGCTACCGCAAGTGCAGCACTGGACCCTCCATCACAGCCCCTGACCCGGTCTCACTCAGCCGCTGCACCAGGACCAAGATGCTGTAATGAGAAGAGTCTCAGGCTGCTTTTATCCCCCTTCCAGGACGCATTTGTCTTGGGTTTTTGCCTTTTTTCCTCTTGCCAGAAGCAAAGAAGTGAACTGCACCCAGTCCCAGCCCAGGAGCAGGTGACCAGGAGCATCTTAGAAAGAGCAACTTTTATTAGAAAAAGAAAAGGCACAGAGAAAACCAAGACCTTTCCAAAGCACAGCAAGCAAGATCAGGCCCAGGGGCAGCAGTAAGGTCCCACGCTGAATTTGTACATCGCAATGGTTGCTCAAGGCACAGCCCCAGCCCATTGAATGGCTCTGGCACAGGATTTGAACATCATTTTAGGGGCTGCCCATGGCACCTTAAAGCTGGCCTCAAGACAGCACCCCGCTTCCCTACTGCGTGGACTCGGCAACCCGGCGAGTGCAGGACGAGGGGTCTGTACAGCCACGGGCAAAGGGCTCAGGAGGAAGGGTGAGAGCGGAATGGGGTTTGCAGAAGGGACCCCGCACAGGGCGCTCATCTCCATGCAATGCCAAAAATAGGACCGTGGTCAGCCCACCCTTCCTGTGTCACTAAGTGAAAGGGGTCATTGTTGTAGGGGGCAGGGGACTGTAATGGTAGGGTGGAGAAGGCCAAGTCTCTGGCTCTGGCTCAGCTGTGTGGGTGGAGGGAAGCATCAGCACCATCAGGTCGTCCCTTCTTCCATTAGGCATCTCCAAGCTACATCAGCGCACGCGTGACTTTGCAAACACCATTTGCCTTTGGTTGGGTCCCTCCAGCAGTGACAGCCTAGACGAGGGAGTGATATCTGCCTGCCCCACCTCACCCCACATGAGTCAGGCAGCAAGGACGACCATGGTCCATAGACGTGCAGCTGAAATTCCCTTGGCCAGGTAGCTTCTTGCCCCACTGACATGATCCAGCTGCCAAGAAGATGTATAGGCTGATCCTATTGGCAAGGGGTTATGGGGCACAGCCAAAAATTAGGGGCAAAACACCAAAGCATTTTGGGGAAATGAGACAAGAGTCTGCCTTCAGCCTTTTCAAGGAGTCTCCAGGCCTGGGTGCTCCCAGGCAGGCAGCAAGTGAGGACTGTGGGTGCAGGGGTAATCTTCCAGCCTTCTTCCTTCCCATCCGACAAGCAGGAGGCCTCAGCAACCTGGGGTGCACCTACACATGGTGCGGGGACTCTCATGGCAGTGGGCTGCTGGATGATTGGGTAGGGCTGGGCTTTGATCTTCAGAGCAAAGCAGTTTTCAGTTTTTCCCAGATCATCTGATATTATCACAACTGGTATTACTACAACTGGAAAGAAAGTGATAAACAGTGAGACTGGGCCTGCGGCTGCAAATCTCCAAAGGCACCTACTTTAATCAGGACCATACTTGTCCTAAACAGGGGATGGGGTAGGGAGGCAAACCCTAAATCCCACCACATGCCACTTCCCTTCCTCTCCCAGACAGACCCCTTCTCACCCTTACAGCTGCCTCCAGTTGTCCCCTCCTGCCGATGTCCAAGTCATAGATGTCCCACATGACCCCTCTCCCCCCCAGTAGCCTGGTTTTCCCACACCTGCCCTGGGAGCGATGAACCGGCAGGCAGGTCCCAGCTCTGCCCCTAGCTCAGAGGATGCACCAGTTTTCAAAGCAGGTCCATGTCTACCTTGGTGTCTCCAGGCTGCTTTACCCAGACATCACGGTTTGTCAGGCTGTTTATTTTCCTGATGTCCTGCAAACAGGAGAGTTGTAAGTGGCACAGGAAGGTTTTCCCCATGCTTCACATGCAGTGTTACCTTGGTCTGACTATCAAAACCTTCAAGCATACGTGGTCCAGATGAAACCAGCTGGCTTTGAGATCCTGCACCTGGTAGACCATCAAAACCAAGTGCAGCTCCAACCCACAGAGATGGATGGATGGCAGCAGACGTTATTATAGGAAAAACTGATAAAGGAGCTGCAAGCTTTACCCAGGAGCAAACCTTTTCCTGGGAAACACAGAGCCACACAGACATGTTTAGGCAGTGCTAATCTCTGCAGCTCAGTGCTGAGGGTGCCTGGGCTTGCCTGCCCAGGCGGCAGGGCTGGGCTGGAGCTGGCCCTCCTGGTCCTGTACCCAGATGGCTGCAGGAGACTGCTACAAGCAGTGGCAAAACATGTACTGCCGTAAAAAGTGACACTTCCCTGGGATTTGCTGAAACTCTCTTTTCTGAGCACAGTAAACTACCCTGAGGCCAAAGGGTCTCCTGTCCACTTCCCTCGCATCCATGTCCCTGAAGCAGCTACGGTGGCAAAGTGCTGACCTCTGAGTCCCCTTAGCCAGGCACTTTGACCTCACTGCTACAAGACACCCTACTCCTGGGGCTGGGATACGCTCAGGGAGGCAGATCACTCCAGACTCCACAGACTCTCAGTGCAGACACAGTTCTCCACAATCCGCAGCACCCAGTGCCGAAGGACTGAGCATACAGCTCATCTCCCAGTGGCCTCCAGGTCAGAGCTAGTCCTCCAGACACCAGCAGAGATGGGATCTCTCTCACTCGTGGCAGGGGAAGCCCTGGGACATGCACCCAGATGGTGTCTGCTCCCTCTTCACCCTTCCAAGGGCTGGGATCAGCTGCTTCGGGCATTTGGGGACCAGGAACATGGCACAGCAACAAGTGGAGCCCTGACATCTCGCCGTGGTGGCCCTGCCACACCCAAACCTCTGACCCTGGCTAAGCTGCCCTCCAATTCTTTAATGGGTTCAGCCAAGCGTTCATCAGCCCTTCAAGTCCCACCACCCCCAATGCAGGGACATGTCCCACTGTGCTGCTTAGTGTCAGGGCACTAGCCTGAGGTGTTGGCACAAGCCTGTACCTTGCTCTTTTCCTCCTTGGCAGGCTCCTGAGCTCGGCTGATCCACAGATTAATGCGGGATGTCACCGAACCTGGGATCTTCAGGTTGTCCTGTGGCACAGAGAGGGACACTAAGGTTACAGCATCAGCTCTCCCTCTGCACGAATGTAACCTGGAACAGTCCCCAGGGCATGGGGAGACAGAGAAAACCTGCAACAGGCAGAGACCAGCCTACACCTTGGCTCCATCCCAGCTCCTCAAATACCAGCGCATCGGCATGAACCCACACACTGCCAGAGCACAGTTTCGTCAGCAGCCAGTGCCCAAACCCAGCCCTTCCTGGCACTGCTCAGCAAGCACCAAACTCCCATCAAACTACACTCAGGCAGCAGCCTGCCGGGCTGTGTGTTAGTATCCAAGGAGGGAAAGACTTGTCCAAAATTCTGGTGCCTGCCCTGGCACAGGACCCTGCTGGAAGGTCCTCGCACAAATCAGCTCCCGCACTTACCTTCCTGACAGCCAGTGGCTCAGCCTTGCTGGGAGCGCTTGCCTCAAAGAAGTTGCGCTTGCTGGCCACCCCCTCCGAGGACAGCAAGAGGCTCTTCTGAACAGTCAGGGTTGATTTCACCACCTCTGAGCGCTGTGAGGAGAGAGGGGCATCAGCGGGGACCATGCTGCACCCCAGCTGGTAAAAAGCAACATCCAGCTTCTGGCTCACATCCTGAGCCAGTTGGGGTCTGCTCCCTCCCTGCCCATCACCGGCTCATGGGACTGCCCCACTGCTCCCCCCAGCAGGACCATGACCTTCTCCAAGCAATATCTCCTCCTTGCTCCTAAAACCGTGAGGTTGATCCCTTTTTCTTCCTGGGACCAATTTCTTCTACCCCATTAGAACTGGTTGTTCCATGCAGCTCCATTCTTCTCTCCCTTCCCCACTCAGCTCCAGGCCCCTCCTCTCCCCACACATCTCCCTCACACCAGCCCAGCTGTTCCAAGGGTTTTGGGTACCTGCACAGCCGAGTTGTACTTTTCCAGCTTCTCCCCAATGGTGGTGCTGCTCCCAGGGATCCTCAGACTTGCACTGGTGGAAAAAAAAGTGAGAGAGTGGAACACAACGCTCCCAGATCTCCTGGGACTCAGCCCACAGTCCTGGGGGACTCCACTTGGCAGGAGACCCTGTCCGACCCAGTCACGACTGCATCCATCTGCCAAGTGAACCAAGGCAGCTCATTCCCTGCTGATGGCAGGGAATCATGGATCTCACCATCTTACTAGGGCCACACTGTATGTTGAAAAATAATTTCCCAGTTTACCCTGTCTTCAACACTGCCAGGTCTGAACTGCATCTTCACCAATTTCAGTATGAGTTGGCCTATAGTTTGCATAGGTGAAGCCCCTTTCCCCTGCCCTGCACTCAGAGGTGGGAGAAGGCACCCTGTTGACTCCCTGCATTCAGACGTCAGCCCTCAGTTCCTCAAGAAGTTTGAAGCCACCTGTCCAAACCTCACCATGGAGATTTGGAGGATCACTTGATCTGATCACCAAAACCAGATCAGGCTGCTCACAGTCCTGTACAGTGGGGTTTGATATCTGCAGGGATGGGAGCCTGCTGTGGTGCTGCACTGCTCAACACGTACCCGCTCCTGTGCAGACACAACACCAGTGAGAAGCCACAACCAAGAGACAGCAGGGAGTAGCTGAGGGGAGCTTGTACAGATACAAGTTGGACATTGGACGTTGTCCTCTGCTAAGCACTGCTGCCTGGTCAGCCAGGCACCCCGGGACCAATGTGCAGCAGACCTGTGCCAGGGCACTCACTAGCTGGTACCAGGTCTCATCACCTCCTCCTACTCCTTGGAAAACAAAGGGTGAGAGTCCCTGACCAGGAAGGCCAAAAGAACATGGAGAGAGGTGCTGACCTCCTTGTGAGCGGGCTTTGGCTTTCTTCTTGCAGTTTTCTTGAGATGACCTGAAAGACACAAGGAGAGGAGATGCTGGAGCCATCTATGGTTACTGAGGATAAACATGGGAGAAACTGTCTCAAACTTGTCTCCCAGTTTTCAAGTAAGCTCCATTTTCACCCACACCAGGGATCTTAGAGCAAAACTAGTCGTGCTAACAGTTTTATTCCCAATAAAGCACCACGGAAGTTACTTAAGCCTAGCCAGCCAGCCCTGATTCACAGCAGGGAGGATCTTATTCCAGAGCTCTTTTTTATTTGGGAGAGAGCTAGAAATTAAAATATTTTCAGGGATGTAACAAAGGACAAGAAGGAGGATGGATTTTTTTATCCTGTGCTCTCTGGAAAGACAAGAAATGCCAGAGGGCGGATGGTCAATCTTGTGACTCTTTGGAAAATCTGAGGACAATGAGCTCCCTGATTTGTCATCGCTTCCCACGTTTCCATGCCAGTACAAAGCATATGAACATGGGCATGTTCACCATCACAGGCCTTCAATCCAACATGGGGAAGGAAAACGGAGGAAAGACTGAAGCAGAGCTTCAGTGCCCAGATCAAGGGTGGATTCTGAATGCACTTTTGGGAACAGGTTCTGCCAACGTAACCTGGAAACCAAAGCAATCCTTCCTTTGCCCCATCCTTGACTGTCTAACAGGGTCTTTCACTCGCTTTAGCTCTTACCCGAAAGGAGACAGTTCTTGGGCTGGTTCGTCTGATGGAGCTGCTGTAGGTGACATGAGTGGGAGAAGTATTTGACTTTGCAGGTTCAGCTTGGGTGGGAGACAGCTGTATTACCTCCTTTGAGGAATTCCTGGATGGCTGCTGAGGGAAAAGCAGACATTTGATGCATCCCTGCAGAGTCTGCAGAGAAGGTTGAGGTGCAGGGAGCAGAACTGCTGGGTGGGAACCGGTTTGGAGGCAGGAGTTTGACACTGAAATCCTCCAAATCTTGGCTGTCTCACTTGAATAGGCAAAGCCCCAAACACCTCTGCAGTGCAACTGTGACAGCAGTCAGTAGGGGCTTGCCGGAGAAGATGATTAGAATAGCACATGCAAGGGAGGGAATGGAGATGGTGGGGCCCTGTCCACCATCTCATGGTTTGCAGCTCTCAAAAATACTTTCCCCAAAAGCCCACAGGTCCCGTTTCCCTCCTGACACTTTTGGGTTTTCCCTCTCTGTTGTTCTCCCACCACCCAGGACCTTGCAACCCAAGGGCTGGTGCCTTGTCCATTTCTGCTCACCTGCTGGTCCAGAGGCAATATCACCACCGAGGCCGTCTTCTCCTCCATGCTGCGGCTTCCCTGTCTGGTCAGGATCTTCACTTCGCGCAGTCGGCAGCCCCCCACCTCTGGCGATGCCCGCTGCTGTGGTTCCCCCACCTCCTTCCTCTGCTTCCCCCGAGACGTCTCCACACCTTGTCCCTCTTTGTCCTGGAGATGTCCCCTCACCACCATCTTGCACTCTGAGGCCGGCTCCCGGTGCTGGTCTCCTGGTGAGTTCCCTCTGCCCTTGGCTGCATCCTGATCCCGCTCTCCAGCCTGGATGCTCTCCTGTCCCACACGCCACTGTGTCCCTCTCTTGGCATGGCTTGCTCCTACCCCTGGCTCCTGCTGTTCCTTCTCCTGCCTCAGCTTCTGAGAGATGGCCATCGGGGACCTTGTCTGTCTCCCTTTTTGTGTCCTCAGCACCTCTGAGAGATTATCCTCTTCCTCATACTCGAGGGACACTGACTTCACCAGGGATTGAGGTCTAGAGACAGAGACAGGGGACAAAGCTCAGCACCCAGCACCAGAGAGCTGGCTTTCTTGCTGCAGGTGAGGTTAATCCATGTGAAAGGCACTGGGGAAGAATAACAATCCCACCAATGTCCTGGAGTCATCCCTGCAGACTAGGACTTGCCGCTACAGCCATCCCCATCAACCCAGCTAGGCTCTCTGAGGACATGTTTGCATCAAAAGTATTTTTTTTCCCTTTTGTGGCAGAGATCAGGCATTTCTGCCACCTCATCCCAGGACATCAGCATCCACCAAGTCCTGTGCCAAGGAGCTGTGGTCTCAGAGCAGCGTACTTGGGTCTGCTGCTCTATGAGACGTGCATCTGAGGCTCTTCAGTGGGTGAGAGAAAACATCACTATCTTAAGTTTAAAGAGTCAGTTGTAAAACAATCTGCTACGGCACAGTTCAACCACAGGCACAACACATTCTGCAGAACAGTCATTTGCCCCTCTTTCCCACAGGCACACATATGCACCAGATTTGGGAAGGGCTAGACAGGACATTGGCCCAGGGTCACCCGGACTGTGTCTGAAGGAGGTGGGATAATATCTGCCCTCCTCCTGAATTGCAATAGCCACATGGCCAGCCTGTGCTAGCACCAGGGAAGGGGGCCGTGTCCTGTCTAGCTCGTTCACGTTAGCCGTGTCCAACCCCTGTTCAACCCCTATGCAACCCAGACATCCCAACTCCCTCACATCTGCAGAAACACCTCTAGAGCATGAGTGTCACTGTGGACATAAGCCATCTAAATATTGGATATTTCCAGGATCAATTTAGTGAATGGGTCATGTTGTGTAAGGGCAGGCTGATCTTAGGGAACCTCTAAATCCCAGCTCCCTGCAGCAAGGGACTTTGGGAGCACTGCTGGAAAGCTCTTGGGTCACCTCGCCAGGAGCTGCATGCTCGGCTCACCTGCTCTGCCGAGATGGCACCTGTCTGCTCCAACCTGCCCTCCAGAAAAGGGAGCGGAGCTGGGGAAGGGTCTGGAGCACAATCCCTGTGAGGAGCGGCTGAGGGAGCTGGGGGTGGGCCTGAAAAGGAGGAGGCTCAGGGGAGCTCTTATTGCTCTCTACAACTCCCTGAAAGGAGGGTGCAGAGGAGCAGGTCGGTCTCTTCTCCCAAGTGACAAGTGACAGGACAAGAGGAACCAGCCTCAAGTTGTGCCAGGGGAGGTTTAGTTTGGATATTCAAGAAAATTTCTTCACAGAAAGGACTGTCAGGTGGTGGAATGGGCTGCCCAGGGGGGGTGGAGCCACCATCCTTGGAGGGATTTAAGAGACATGTGGACAAGATGCTGAGGGACATAGTTTAGTGGTGGTATGAGCAGTGTTGGGTTAATGGTGGGACTTGATGGTCTTAAAGGTCTTTTCCAACCCAAAATATTCAATGATTCTATAAAGTGTCACTGGGGTATGGCCAGCTCAACCTCAGCACCAACTCTCACCCTGGCACATGGGTTCCCTGCGCCGTGGGACATGTTGAGGTCCATGATTCAACCCACCAGAGATATGTCCCTCTTGTTCTACTCCTCCTGTGAAGACCATCCTTCTGCCCAAGGGCCTGGTGAACCCCTGCTCTTCCAAAAGCTCAGCCCACTCTCATCCAGAAGAGACTCCCACCAGCTGCAGCATCTTTGACTCAGGGTTGAGAAAAACAAGGCAGCAAGCTGCGAGCTGTCAGCATTATAAGACTGATGCCAGCAGGCCCTCACGCACCTGCTAGAAGCTGGACTAGTATCTTTCACCGGGCTAGGAGGTTCTTCATCCATTGATGTAGAGGACAGCAGGCTCCGGTGCCTCCGACGGCGCTCCCTTTGCTGCTCTTCCTCATCCTCAAGGGTCCTCTGCCTGGCCAGGCTGTTTGGGATGAACCATAAGGACATGGTGAAGCAATGTCCTACACAGGGAGCTTGCAGCCCTGGTGCCAGACAAGAAAGGAGACTGAAATGCTCTTGGGCAAGGGCCAAGGGGTTGACAGAGGTTACCTTCCTCAGCTGCTGTGCAAGGCTGGAGGAGAAGGACACCAACGCGAGCCAGGTGTCGCAAAGCGCTCTCGCTCCACCCAGCTGATGCAGGCATTTCCTAACGCAAGCACTCGACTACAAGTCCTCATTTCTTCTGCTGGAGGGAGCACTCATTTAAAAGCAATCCCTACATTAAGCAAACCTTCCTGGGCAAGGATATTTAACTTGTAACTCAGCATGACCAAAACCCTAGAGCCACCACACTGATCACAACCACATAAACTGGAACTTAAACTAGTGGCAGAAGATTTTAGCCCCAACGCGAGTTGTGTCAATGCCATTTTCATTTTTATTGAGCAAAAACCCTCAGATGCAAAAGCATGAGAGACTGAAGGCAACTGTTGACACATTTTGCCTGGAAACAGGGATGGCAGGAGCTCCTCATACTCCCTTCATGTGGCTGGCACCGGGAATTGTTTATAATAATAGATTATGCCAAAAAGACAAGTTTTGTAATCCTCTTCAAAGATTTTATTTTGCACAAGCCAAATGGGGTTTGTTTGTTTGTTGTTTTTGGGGTTTTTTTTAATAAAATGCCACCCCTGAATAAAAAGTTGTTCGGAAAACACCAGCTTTGCCTCCCTTACCCTGTGCAAAACCTGCCCACCCTCTCTGCCAGTGCATGAACTGCAATGGAAAATATTTTTATTGGCTGGCTTGAGCTTTCCACAGCAGTGTTCATTTACCTACAGCACCAGTCCTCAATCAGCTGCAAACACATGCAGGGGTCACAGGGGAGCTCCCAGCACACCCATGGGCAGAGCCACCCCTGCGCAGGATCCAGCCTGTCACAGCATCCCAGCTCGGTAACTGACACTCCAGTTCCATCCAGACTCGGGGTTTACTCTGAATTCGACTTTTAAGAATGTGGAAGTCAGAGCAGGAGGGGGCCTGCAGGATCACCAGCATCGCTGCGGACACGGTGACTCGCAGCGTGGTTTATGAGTTACTGTGTAATGAAAGCTGGGTCATAAATTAAACCACATTACCCCCCGCAACCATTTGCAGCTTCTGTTGTTCCTGGTCAAGGGAGGTGGAGGACTGCCGGAGGGTCAGCGGAGCAGAACGGAGAGCGCAGCGGGGACGGGGCCTGGCTGAGCTCAGCACCTGTTCAGGGACAGGGCAGTGCTAGGGGGTGTGCTCCCCTTCCCTCCCGCTGCCTCCATCCCTCTCGCCCCTGCACCCCAAGCAGCCTTCATGCCCCAACAGCAAGCGGACCACTGCTGGGGGGCTTCAGGTGGGCCCCAATAGGGACTTGGGGCTTGGGGACAAGGGGCCCCAAAGGTGGGCTTGGGGACCATGTCTACCCAATGCTTGGCATCAGGAGAGACAGGGATGGAGGAGGCTGGGGCCCGCCCCAGGAAGCTGATGAGCATCCTAGCCAGCTCTCACCGCCCCCAGGGACACCTCCCCGTTAGGTCCTTGCGGCTGTACTCACCATACAGGCCTGACCCTGTAAATATTTGTACACAGCTTAGCTGGCTGGGCAGGCAGCACGGCTTTATTTGCACGGCACGGTGTGATCTCCTGGTGCCGCAATCACGGCACACATGTTCCCACCCGGCAAGGTTAGCACGTGTGTGGGGACGTACACATGAGGGTGCATCTGCTAAGTGCTCTTGTCCCTCGAGCAGTGACAGAGTGGAGCACTAATGCCAGCTTAAATCCATCTGAGAGCCAGCTACTTTTTTTCATGCATAGGCTCCTTCGAAATGAAAATGGGATTTTCCTGCCTTGAATTCTCTTGGCTCCTCAGAGGCAGCATGTAACCTGGTATTATCAATATGCAGCTTCTCGTTATTTGTAATTAAGTAAACCAACCATTAGGCTATGGATTTGCTTTGCCAATCTTTCCCTCCTCTTTTCAAAGAGGGATGTATTTTCCACCCTCTTACCTTTTTTAACCTCAAAGAGATGAATAAAAAAGATTGGCGAGCCTCCCCCTGCTTTGTGCTCTCCTGCCCTGTTAATCATTAGTGCTGATGTATCTGACATTTGTGCTGTTTCAGTGAATGCTGTCTCATCTGATGAGAGAGGAGAAACTGCCTTCCTGGGCTGTGAAACAACCTGAGTGCAGCACCCCACTGGGCTTGTGTTCAGGCGGGTCTGTGGCTCAGAGGAGGATCTGGATGGGGCTGGGATACCCTCTGGATCCATCCCATCCATGACAGAGGCAAGGTGTGAGCTGGTGGCCTCTGAGCAACAGGGTCCCTGTTCATTCCCATTTCTGGGCTGGCCATGGGTGGGTGTCTTACCCTAAGTGCTATGGTTTGCAAAGTCTCAGAGCCATCCCATCCACTCAAACTAGGATTTCTGTTCTGTTTTGTGGGAGAGCGCAGCTGCGTTTGAGTCACCATCAGCCTCCCTGAACAGCCAAGGGTGACCTCTGGGGTCTGCAGGAGGCTGGGAGCAATCCCCTCACCAGGCTTCATGTGAGCCCAACTCACCTCACAGTGTCCTGGCTCCCATCGGAGACAAAATCAATTTTAGGAAAGACCGAGCGGAGCAGCCAGCGCCGCGGGGCTGCGGGGATCGTTCAACAACTGCTGATGAATCAGGGCTTGCTCAGCGCCGGATGGGCAGAGGCTGCAGCCTCCGCACAACGGAGCCGGGACACACACCCAGGGGCTGTATGGATATGGGGCAAGTGAAAAAACCCCACAGCCAGCTACGGGGCAAGTCTGGAGGCACAGCCCAGCCAGGCAGACCCAAAGAAAGGCAAACCAGACCAAAACTAATCCAACACAGGGCAAGGATGCTTTTCCAGAGCTATTTTCCTATACAGTGCTCAGCTTTTCCAGGCAGCAGGAACAAAAATGCCTCTGATTTTGCCCACCCACAAGAAACTCCAGCAGTGCTGAGTGGTCCCCAGGCCCACCACCACCTCTGCAAGCAACACCTCCCCACGCTGTCTGTCCCCCTCTGCCCATCCTCACCAACACCCCTCAGCCGAGGCTCACCAAGCTGACAGCCCACCCTCACCCCCACCCTCCCGCCTGCGTAAAGGGTTAAGCATTAAACCACAGCACCTACCTGGAGAGATCAGACCAGTTCCTTCTGCCAGAAGACATTCCTACTTTCCAAGATTTTCAGAGAGTCCCCAAAAACTGTGCAGGCATCAAGGCCAAGGTGCTGTGGGAGCCACAGGGATCTGTGCTGCCCGGAGACTCTGCTCCCTGAGGAGGGAGGAACTCCCTGCAAGGTTATTTCCCTGTGCACCTTTACCCTGCCTGCAGCCCGTTTACCACTACACTGCATCACATGCTTTCTTATCTACCTTGACAGAGGCAAGGCTGTAATTTGTGTGCTAGCGGCGCCGTGCAAAAGACGCCCTGCCCAGGAGTGCCACGCAAAAGCAAATCCCTCCTCGTTGCCTCCTGTGCCAGGGTTCGAGTGGAGACCCGCGCTCAGGGCTCAATCCATCCAGGTCTCCCAGGGTTTTGGAGACAACTCCCTGCAGAGAACCTGTTTTACCAGCCACTCTCCACCAGTCAACAACTCCTCCGACACCGTGGAGGAGGTGAATTACTTGGGCTGAGTGGGAGGAGGCTGGCTCCCAGCGATCCAAAACAGTCATTAGAACACCTCCATCTGGGTGCAGTCCAGCCCTTTCCAAAGAGCATGGGAGGGTGCCCTGTTCCTTTCAGCCCTTTCTGGACATCTTGGATTGAGTCATCACAGACTCCCAGTTCTTACGAGCTTTGCTGCAATAGGGAGCACTCACAAAGTCTCAGAAGTGGCTGAGGCATGGGGGGTCCAATTTTTGGGTGCTGATGTCTTGTGCCAGAGCAGGGCTGTGTACCCAGGCTTGTCTCATGCCTGGACTCTGTCCATCAAACCTACTGTCCCTCCCCGCTGGTCCCGAGACCCCGTGCTCCCACACTGACACAGGGCAGCACTCTCTTTCAAAGGGCAGGTGCGAAGGCAGTGGGGGGGCTGTCCCATCGGGGTGACAGAGGCAGCCAGACACAGCAGAGCTGGGTTCAAGCCTCGTTGTTACCTGGGGCCAGCACCCCAGTGCTCCCACTGCTGGGGGCAGTCAGGCAGCTGTTTTGTCGAATACTTGCCAAAAAAGTCATCCGGGACTCCATGAGTACAAACTTGGACTCTGATCCCAGTGAGACCCATCTGCCAGCCTGAGGGACTGGTTAAAAGGCTGGGCTTGCCATGCATGCCTCTCGCCCTCAGGGGTGTGCCCAGCACCTGGGAAACCAAAGGAACTATTTTAATCAAAGGTTCCTGATTAAAATCCCATTTCTAAAGAATGCCCTGTCTAATAAGCCGTCTGCTCCGAGCAGTGCACATTCTCTGTTTTAGTTTCTTCTTGCAGCCACCAGCTGTCCTTCAAGTGTTTTCATACACACAGAAAATTCAGTGAGTTATGGCATAAGGAAAAAAATTACACAAATAGCCTTCCAAGTGTCCTGCTAATTGCTGACAAACTATATATAGTAGTTCAGCCTTAGTTCTATAAAACAATAAACCTCTTTGATTAATGCACAGTGAGTACTTTACTTGCAAAACTCATTGCCAAAGGATATCACTGAAGCATAGGACTTAACAGGATTTTAAAAAGGATTAGGCTGAATGTAGTGAAAGAACACCCCCAGCTAGGATCTACATAGCAAAGGAATATAAAACCTCACAGTTCGTGATTCCTCTTATTATTAAGATGAAGAAATTCTAGACAGGCATTAAATGGCTGGGGATTAGGAAGAGGACAAACCTCAATGACACTCACCCTCACAGTCCCCCAGTCATTATTGTCAGTTCAGAGACCTTCATTGATTCTTCTTTGTTTAAGACCCCTCAGTGGGTTTCTCCTACATGGATTTGCCCGGTTTCCCTCAAATGCAGGAAAGTTGCTAGTATGAAAAACATCCTTCAGCAAGGAGTTCCCCAGGTCTATTCCTTGTTGCTGGAGAAGCTCTCTCCTATCCTTTAATTTGGATGAGGTCCTGCTGAGCTGTTTGTCAGCACAAAGCATTGATCTCTCATGGGTTGAGTTTTTTGCAGCCACAGAGCATTTAGCTCATGTTTTCCCTGATGTTCCTCATGCTTTTTCATGTTCACCGTAATCCCAGGCTATCATACAAGTGAGCAACAGCCAACTCAGAGACCATCATCTTATATATGATGTTTGCCTTTTCCATGTGTGTGCCACTTTATACTGCCTCAACATCCCCTGCCATTTTATCTCCAAGTCCTGCAAGATCCTTCTGAACGTCTGTCATAAGCCTTTATCTCTGCTCTGCTGAATGCATAAGAATTATCAGCAGACTTTGTTATCTCACTATTATTTCCTATCTGCTAATCGATTATTTACCTCTGCTCGGACTCTCCCTCTTAGCCACGGCTGACCTAAAGGTCATTGCTTCTGGAAATCCAGGAAAACTCTTATCTACAAGGTTGCCCTCATCCATGAGGTCATTGATGGCTTCACCGAACACCAGTCACTTTGTGAGACCAGACTTCCCTTTACAAAAGCTCTTTTGGCCACCCCGAGGTCATCAGCGAAGTCCAGACCAAACTGCAGGTCCACAAAGCTGAAGGTGATGTAATTCGGCAGGGGTGTGAGTCCATGCGGGGAAGAGATGCTCAGGGGACCCAGCCTGACATTTACCCAGTTCTGCCCTGCATGCCAGGCTGTCCTATCTTCTGTCCCAGATCTACAACCAGGAGAGGAAAGCTAGGTGCTCTGGCCAAGGGAGTTGTGCCACAGGACTCCGCTGCATGCAGGCAAGGTACTAGTGTAACTCTGCTTTTCAGGAGGGCTCTGCAGGCTCAGGGAGGCTAGATCTTCATCTGATGCACATCATCAGAAGACACCCAGTTATATCCACTAAGGAGTTAGACCAGTATCACCATGGTTTGGGTTTTTTTCCCTTGGGAACGATGTCCTGTGTCTCATCCCTGTGCAGAGCCTGTTTCTTTGGCTACAGGGCAGTGGAGAGATTCCAGTTTCCACAGCTGTGCTGTAATTAGAGCATTCCTCCACATCACTGTGGGGCCCAGCGGTGAACCCTCCACCTCCTACCTGTTTGCCTGTGCCGGTCCCCCAGCATCGGCCATGACTCAACTCCTCCCTTGGCTCCACAGGCTCATCCCTGACTGCTGCCAGTGGTGGAGTGGAACCAGCAGCACCATCTGGGCTGGGACATGGGGCTCGATGGCCAGAAAAAAGGATTTTTCACCCCTGCTCAGCTGCCATCCCATCACTGCAGTGGTGCACCAGCTCACAAAGGTCCCATCAGCAAATGCTTTGAAAAGCTCCACTCACCCCACACACAGAGGTCTCCCTGAATACCAGTGCTGGTCTTCCAAGGCACTGGGATGGTCCAGGGTTGTTCTTCCCCAGCTCCAGTTCCTTCAGCTTTTGGAAAGATGTATGTGATGCACTAGAAAGTGGTAGTACAGAGGTAATCTGGTGTGCAAAGAAAGCCAGAAGGTGTCTGAGATTGGTGTGTGTTTGCTCAGAAACCGAACAAAACCTGACCACAGGCTTTTCTGTTTTCTGTAGGAAAGGAATAACCATTCTCCCAACTGCTTTGTAGCAGAGGGCTGTTTTCATTTACAATTTTTTTTTTAAAGAAATAGTTTAGACAAACCTTGGTTCAGAAATGCCACCGTCATGCCCCACAGATACTATAGCATCCTTCAGGTTCCCATTTTCCTATGCAGATTGGCCTCTTCATCAGATGCCAACTCCTGTGATGCCCCAGGTCTAACGATGAGGAACCATGGACATCCCCCAAAAGTGGTGTCAATAGAAACTCCTCAGGTCATGGATAGAATAAGTGGGACTCATTGCCAGCAGCTGTATGGCAGACTGCATCCCTCCTGGCAGATGGAATTAGTTGCAATTAATGAGAAATTCCCTCTGCTGTGAGCAGTGAGTAAGCCAGCTCAGGCCACAGCAAAGGAAGATGGACAAGATGGGCATTGCCCACTCACACCAAGTGCCATTCCCCAGTCAGGCCCCATTCCTCCCCAAGGCTGCAGGACATGAGCCTGGAGGGCTGCAGGAGGGGAAAATGGGCCTAAAGAAACCCATTTCTTCCTTTTTTATACTACAGGGGCACACAGGACCCACACCAAGGTCTCCAAGGTGATGGGTGGTCATGCTATAGCCCTGCCAATGTGGTGCAGTTGCCCCCGGTTGCCTCCTGAGCAGCTGCAGCCATGGGGTTTGATCCTGCACCTGCAGCACCACAGAGACCAAGGGGGCAATGGGGAGGTAATGTTTAATTTTTATCACCAGGGACTGCAGCCCAGCTAACTCCCGTGCAGGGCAGGGTGCTGCAGGGTCTTCAGAGGCTGTGGGATAAAATAGCCCTTCCCACCCTGGGTTTGCCCATCACCACTAATCGTCCTCCCCTGCCTCCCTGTGGAGGTCCAGCCCCCAGCTGAGCTGCAAATACACTCAGGGAAATATTTGAGCACAGTTCAGGTGCATGTCCAATTAGCAAGGATTTCGCAGAGCATCCTAGGAAAGGAAGGGACCATTGTACAATCAACTAGGAGCGATATTTTTGAAAGGCCATATCAGGCCAAGCCCTTTGCATCTCCCTGATTGCAGTTTTGCCAGCAAACCTTTTCCAGTAGAAGAACACTGGGTCGATTAGTATTTTTTTCTACTATCCAAATTAATTTGCAATTTCTGCAATTTCAAGCTTCCAGCGCTTTGTTTCGCTTTGCTTTGCAAGCTCCTGGCTGCAATGGAGTAACCTGGAGGATGGTGGGGACAGCTCTGCCCAGTGCAAGGAGACAGGACTGACTCCTGCAGTTCTGGAAATAAATGAAATTTCATTAGTGACTGCTCCAGCATCAGCCTCTCTCCCTAAGAAGAGTCTTGCAAGTCCCCCATTTGGGCGGAATTGTCAATAAAAAAGGATTACCATAGGGTTCTCTTCTAATTCAGACAGAAAAACTCGAGATTGTTCTCACCTAGGCAGGAAGAAACAGTGGGACTGCAAAGCCAGCCTGGCACAAGGGGAGCCGGGCACATCCTGGGAGGAAAAGCTCAACCTGCCCCTTTTACCAAGGGCAGAGCTGGACTCCCAGAGCCACA